TTTTTTTCCCCTCAATTAAACCATGCTGGGCTGTGTTCACTGCATAATTCCTGCGTAACACAGGATCCTCATATGGTATAAACTTTACATTATTCTACATATAATAAGAAATTCTTTCTAAATAAAGATTGCTGGACCTTAAGATTGATAGTGACCACCCTTTATGTTAAAAATCTATTGAAGACTCTTAGGAATATAATTTTGGTAATTTGGGAAAGAGATTCTTGACTAGGAAATTTTAAGCATCAGTTGTATGCATTTTTATGTAACTATTTTGGCAATGTGAAAGGTAGAGATATATAATTAGTATTTTCTTCATTTCTATTATATTGTTGTAAGAATTTTTTTTTTTTTTCTTTTTTTGTGGCTGGCTGGTAAGGGGGTCTGAATCCTTGACCTTGATATTACCGACATTGTGCTCTAACCAACTGAGCTAACCAGCCACCCTGTTTCAAGATTTGTTATTACCGAATTTTAGAGAAGATAGGAATTTTTTTTTTTTTTGGTACTTCAAAGTATAAACAAATATTGAGTCTTTTATTTTTGTGGCTTATGAAATGGTTCTGAAGACAAAAAGAAGAGTTTCCAAAATGTTACAGTGGGAGCCTTCTTAAAATAAGTATAGTTCTCCAGAACGATTTCTGTAGAGGATAGCATTCCTTTCAAGTTCTATTTGTTTAAAATAAGTGTCCTTACTTAAAACCACATCTTGTATTTAATATTGGCTAATGTTAATATGTTAATGTTTTGATATTTACAGGACTGCATTTTTTATGGTTTTGTTTCAAAAGCCATTTTCTTCTGGGAAAACTATTACCAAACACCAGGTGAGTTTTTGCAAAATCCTTTATTCCTAGCAGCTTTTCATTCAGTGGGCCAGGATACAATGCCGATTTTTGGATCAAGGATACCTAACAAATTATTTAAGGGCACAGCAGAACATTTCCAGAGTTAACTTGCTCTTGACTTGTCTTTTCAGAATTGAGATTTCAAGAGTGAACTACAAAGAGCTAAAAATAAATAATAAAAATGTATTAAAATAATAAAATAAAATATTATTTATTAAAATAATAAAAATGGAACGTCTAAAATGCAGAAAAGGGTAGAAAAATTTAAAAGCATTTATGTAATTGTTTTCTTTAATGCAGTTTCTTTATTCTGAAAGACCTACAAATGAACATGGAGGCATGCCCAAGATCCTAGTACAAATGTCACTGGGAGGCTGATAAAGCATAGGGGTTGACAATTTCATATTCTGTCTGTCCTACATACTAACTCTTACTTTGGGCAAGTTACTTAGTTTTTTTCTAACTTAATTTGTTCACCTGTAAAATAGAGATAATAATACCTTCCTAATGGAGATCTGAGAAATAAATGAATTAATACATGTAAAGTTCTTAGAATAGTGCCTGGCATATAATATGTATATAGTAAATATTAGGATGTAGTACAGCACCCTCATCATTATCATTATTATTCCCTTTAGGCAGCTGAGGTTCAGGCTTCATGCCAGAAATGTCCTACATTCTGTATGATCATCTCACGTACTCCTCTACGTGTTTGCTTTATGCCATGCCTTAGAAACCTGTGCCATGATTCTTTTTCCCCCCTGGCATCTGTCTGGTACCAGGATCCAAACCTGTGACCTTGGTGTCATAGGGCTGCACTGTAACATACTGAGCTAACCATCCAGTCTGACTTTTTATTAGAATGACAAATTCAAGTACTTCTGTTTTAGAAACCAAGAACATTTTTAAAAATAGGATTAGTATTTTAAACCCCATCTTAACTTTTGTCTTCTCTTTTCAAATATTATAAATAATTGGAACACTAAAAATTCTTTTCATGGGAAAGAATTTAAAAACTAAAATATTAAGTGTTCCTAGGAAACTAGTGAGAAACTTAGAAAACATTCTGTAGGAAAAGATTTCAAGATCTAACAGACAAAAATATAGATAATGGAAATCAATATTGTCTTGCAAATCTAGAGTTAGTCAAGAGATCTTAACATTTTCTGTTTAATTTCAAAATATGTAATGATTTAGTCTTTAAAATAGTTGTTACCATTATTATATTTCCCTGTGTATTTTAAGATTGAGATATTTAGCAAAATATATGTGACTGAAATTTTAATTTTTTGTTTCCATTTATAGTGGATCAAAATATTTAAACATGCAGTTGCTGGGTGTATCATTTCACTCTTGTGGTTTTTTGGCCTTACTCTTTGTGGACCACTAAGGTAAATAAAATGCATATTTTGAATGTTTGTTTATATTTCTTCATTTTGAATATTAATTCTTTCCCATATTTTATGTCAAGTATTTGTTTGTACAAATGCTTTTATCATTTCTATAGCATTGGATAGAATTCAACAAATAGAGAAGGAGAAAGAACCTATTTAGTTTGTGAACTATTTCTTTGGTGCATACCATTAATGTATTTATTCATGATTTGTCATAGATATTTTACTAGTTAGAATCCAAAGAGTTTCAGAAAATTTTTTAGCATAGGTAGCTTTTTTTAAATCATTCATTAGTGATCCTCTTAGTAGTTGATTTAGAAGCTAAAAGGTCTGAAATGGTAATCAATAAGGAGGACAGCAAAATCTTAAAAGCACTCATTTTTTTTTGTACAACTCTGCAAGTACTCTTGTAAACAAATGTATTGGGAATAGTGTGTCAATCATCAGATTAAAGGTACAGTGGGTTAAGCAGACTATTCTCATTTCATATTCCCCTAGATCTGTATAATCTTTTTGCGCAAATGGGTTGATTTATGAAGGAAATGCTTAAGAGCTTCTTTTTTTTTTTTTTAAAGATGACAAGTAAGGGGATCTTAACCCTTGACTTGGTGTTGTCAGCACCACGCTCTCCCAAGTGAGTTAACTGGCCATCCTTATATAGGGATCCAAACCCTTGACTTGGTGCCTATCAGCACCACACTCTCACAAGTGAGCCATGGGCCAGCCCCTTTAAGAGCTTCTTAAACAACAGTCATAACATGTGCACCTGTACATAAACATTCTTTTAATATTTCTCTATTTTTAAGGGGTTTTACTTAGTGGGTAAGTGTAAGAAAAAGTACCTTGCTATTGATAATGGGGAGGAGTAAAATGAGGGATAGTCTGAAGGATCTCACTGAGAATATTGGGGTGGGCAGAGTGGAAAGTAATAGATAGGAAATGCTTTGTGAAAAGTTCTTTCCTCTTTAATGGCCAATAGAGTAGCTTCTGGATTGGAGTCCCTTTGGCTTGTTTGCCCTGTACTTTGTTAGATGCAGAGAATGCATAATTCCTAAAGTCATATTCCCATCCATGATAGCAGCAGCATTCTGGAGAGGTGGGAAAGCTGGCTGAATTTCTCAGCTTGGGTAGAACTCTTTCAGTTTATGCTTGAATATGATTGAGTGGTGTTATTGCTTATCATCTGCAATATTTTAAATTTCTTATTTGTGAAATGATTTGTTGGTTTGTATGTTACTAAATCACTCTCCCTGTGTGTTAGGATAGGGAGAGAAGGGGAAAATATTTAAGTTCTTACTTGCCTCCTTATTTAGTCATCTACTGTCCGCCCTTCAGCCCCTTATCACCTCCAGCACTGCTTCTCTCATTATTTTACTAAACCATCATGCAATTTCTCTATCAGAAAGACTCCTTTGGTGTTTCATAGCTGTCTCATTTTAGGTTAGTATTAATTTGTTGATGTATTTATTCTCTTAAATTATAATCTTCCCAATATTAACAGAACTAAAGTTACCACTGATGTGTTCTCATTACAGATTTTTGGGTAAAGAGGGAAAATGAAAATTTATTTAACAGTCAGCTGCAAATCTGTTGTTATTAAATTCTTTTTTTTTTTTTTTTTTTTAAGATGACTGGTAAGGGGATCTTAACCCTTGACTTGGTGGTGTCAGCACCACACTCTCCCAAGTGAGACACAGGCCAGGCCTATGTTGCTATTAAATTCTATAAGCCTCCTTTTGGCTGGATTTATTTAGTTTCTAGCCTGGCGATAGTCCCCACGTGACAGCCAGCATGGTTGCAGTGCTCATGTATACCTCTTTTTAAAATTTTTTGAAAAAATATTTCATACATTTAAAAGAATAAATATAGATATAGGTATATTTAAAGAATAATAAAATGAACATCCATGTGCCCAACACCCAGCCCCCCAAATGAAACCTTACCAATACCTTTGAAGCCCTGTATGCCTCTCCTGATTATATCCCCTCTCTCTCCCTGCCTTTGGATATAACCAGCATCTTAAGTTTTGTTTTTCATTTTCTTGGTTTTCTTTATAGTTTTACCACATATTTGCTTTTTTTTAAAAAAAAAAAAAAAAAAAAAGATGACCTGTAATGCTTGGCTTGGTGTTGTCAGCACCACGCTCAGCCGATGAGCCAACCGGCCATCCCTATATAGGATCCGAACCCGTGGCCTTGGTGTTATCAGCACCGCACTCTACCAAGTGAGCCACGGGCCGGCCTGCTTTTTTTTTTAAATGTTTAACTTTGGAAGTATTTTACTTTATATGAGGGTACTTCAAAAACTTCATGGTAAGATTTGTATTATCTTTTTTTTTTTTTTCTGGACAGCTGGCTGGTACAGGGATGGAACCCTGGGCCTTAGTGTTATCAGCACCACACTCTAACCAACTGATCTAACTGGCCAGACCTCGTATTATTTTTCAATTCTGTTTTTTCGTGAACTTTTTAAAGTATAAATGGAATTAGATTGCATGTATTTTTATACAACATGCTTTTTCATTCAGTGTTATGTTTGAGATTTGCCCACTTGACACATATAGTTTACAGTTTATTCATTTCTTTTTTTTTTTTCCTTTTTGTCTTTTTTCGTGTCCAGCAACGGATCGCAACCCTCAGTGTCGCGCCCGTACTGGACCGGGACCAGCAACGGGATCGCAACCCTCAGTGCTGCGCCCGCACCTCGCTCAGCCAGTGAGCGGGAACTGGTCTGTATGTGGGATCCGAACCCTCGGCAGGAGCGCTGCCGCGCTCCCAAGCAGCGCACTGTAGCAGTGCGCCACCGTGCCAGCCCAGTTTATTCATTTCTATAGCAGTTTTTTAAAAATATAATTCACATACCTTAAAATTCACCTTTTTAAAGTATACTTCTGTATTTTTTCTTGTATTTTCAAAGAATTTTCTTCATTCTTACTGCTATAGCCCATTGAGTGGAAATACTCCAATTTATATTATCCATTTTTTTATTAGTGGGTATGTAAGTTGTTTCCAGTTTTGGCTTACTGCAAACAATGCTGGTGTGAGCGACCTTATAAGTATGTCCCGGTACACATGTACAAGAAATTTGTAAGATATAATCCTAAGAGTGGTATCGTTGGGTATTTGTAGCTTCAACCTTTCTAAGGTAGATAATGCCAAAGTATTTTCCAAAGCAGTGGTACCTATTAATTTTTCTCATAATGTTTTACAAAGTCAAGGAGAAATATTTCTTTTCTCTTACTGTAGTTGAATTTATGCTTCCTGATAAAGACAAGATACAATTCATGAATGATAATATTTTGTTGTTGTAGGACTTTGCTGCTATTTGAACACAGTGATATTGTTGTCATCTCACTACTAAGTGTTTTGTTCACTAGTTCTGGAGGAGGACCAGCAAAGGTAGAATTTCCCATTATCAGTTACTTGGATATTTAGAGTATATGTGTAAAATGTTATCCAAAGCAATAAAATCATATCTTTTAGCATTTAAATGAATTTAGGGGCTTTTTCCGCTAGTTTTACTTTTTTTTTTTTAACAAATTGTTTTTTGTTTTTTACTTTTTATTTTGAAATGATAAATTCCTAGGAAGTTGCAAAAATAGTACAGAGAGGTCCATGTACCCTTCATTCAGTTTCCCCCAAAGGTGGCTTCTTACCTAACTTAAATACACTATCAAAACCAGGAAATTGACATTGGTACAATCTGTAGACCTTATCAGATTTTACCAGTTTTTCATACACTCGTGTGTGTGTATGTGTTTGTATGTACTTAGGTCCATGAAATTTTATTATGTGTATAGATTTGTGTAACCACTACCACAACCAAGATAGAGAACTGGTACATCACCACAAAGATCTCCTTCATGTTGTACCCATACCCCTCCCCCTACCTCGTTCTTAACCCTGTAAATTATCTTTGAAAATTACCTAAGAACTTGTGATATTTAAAGTCTGTGAACATTTATCCGACATTTTGCCAACAAGGCATCCTTGTTCATCTTAAGTAATTCAAGTATTACCCTCTTTTGGCAAGTGAGTTACCAATCTGCAGTTCCAAATTGTTAGAATTACAATGTTTCACCAAATTAAACACTTCCTCTGCATGGTACATTGTCCTAAACATAAGGGAAAGAAGAAATAAGATATAATAATCCCTGTTCTGAAAGGGACTTTCAGGCAAAGTAATGGAGGGAGATGAATAAAATAATAAAGTGAACAAAGTAACGGGCCAAGTAGAGCAGAGTGGGAGAATACCCAGCCTGTAGATTTCAAATTGGGTCATTATTATTCAAGCAAAGGCCACTATTTAATCCTTCCCCACATTCACAAAGTACTCCCAATTAAATTTTAAGTACATTGAAGAGTTCTGTGGATTTAAAAAAAAAAAAAAGATATCTGTAAAACATAGAATAAAATAATGTATAGGTGGAGAAGAACTTTCTGAGTGTAAACACAATGGAAATAAAAATCATAAAGGGAAAACTCTCTACACTTGACTTCATAATGATTTCAAACTTCCTATATAACAGAAATCATTGTAAAAACAAAAAACTAACAACAACAAAAGCTGCCACAAACAAAACTACATTTCTTTTAAAATACTCAGTTAAGAAAAACACTTAAGATTCTCAATAGAAATGAGCAAAGGACAGGGAAAGACAACTCACAAAAGAAACACAAATAATTTTAAAACATTAAAAAAAATAAAAGTTTGGCTGCACTAATAGTCAGAAATGAAAGTACAGATCTTGCGTATTCTCCCATTATGTCAATAATGAATCAGGGCATTTGTCCAGGACTTGGTGAATTTCTTTTTTTTTAATTATAACCCTGAAGTACTACAGAATTCTCAGTTGCCCTTTTTGTTATTAAGGAAAGATTAAATTATATCATCTGTATTTGAGTGTTATTGATATTACCATATCCTAACTCAATGAAAATTTAAGAAATTTTATCATTTTGTTTTGTTTTTGGCGGTTGGCCAGTACAGGGATCCAAACCTTTGACCTTGGTGTTATAACATCGTGCTCTAACTAACTGAGCTAACCAGCCAGCCCAGAAATTTCCACACTAACAGAATATATCCAGTGTAGTGGTAATCACGTAATGAATAGAATAGTATCCTTGCTTCCTCACTTTTTAAATTTTTTTTTTACTTTTTTTTTTAAGTATCCTCACTTTTCATTTTAAACTTTTATTAAATAGAAGTATTGTGTTGTACTTCCATTATATATATATATATAAATTACATATAAGTATACATATTATACAGGAAGTATAACACCTGTAAATTTGTAAATATAGAATGTATAACAATACTATTTAGATTGCCTTTATACCTAACATTCTGAAATATTTACATAAACTAGGCTAATATACCTTTTCTATAATTTTCTCTTGTCAAAATCCTTTCCCAGGAATGAGAACATAAAAGAGTTTATCAGCTTTTTAATGCTTTATACCTTTACTAGATCTTAGCAATGACTTCACTGATTTTCTTAACATGCCCTCTTGATTGTTTTTCCCTAGAGGAGTAGTAACTAGAGTATTCTATTATCTCTTGCATGTTGTAGACTAAACTAAATCCCTACTAATTATTTTTTAACTACATGGGCTTTTCAACCAGAAGTAAAGTAACATTTAGGAAGGTTAATTCTGTAAACAGTGACAGTTTGTTCATAGTAACATGCCTAGCCATGTCAGCAAGGAGGGTAATTGAAGGTGTCAATATTATGTGTCTTAAATGCCTTTAAAATATTCTGCAGAATTTGTTGGATCTCTCTTCTTTTATATCTTACTGTTAATAATGTACATTTATATTATATATGGGCTGTAATGTCAGATGTTATTTTTTCTTTAAATGTTTATTTTTTGAAAAACATTTTTCTTTAGCATTTGTATAGTTATTGTCTTAAAGATCAGCTCTTGAAAAAGCTATCCTTAGCATTATTTTCTTCATTTTTAGACAAGAGGGGCTGCTTTTTTCATTATTGCTGTGATCTGTTTATTGCTTTTCGACAATGATGATCTCATGGCTAAAATGGCTGAACACCGTATCCTTTTTTTGCAATAGACTGTACTTATTTAATGTCTTGCAGAAAAGTAGAAGACTGGCAGAATGGGAAAAGAAAAGGTGAATGAATTAAACTGATCAATCATGAACGAAACTTTCATAGGTTAATGTAGACATTCAAAATCAGTATTTAAATAATGAACAAATTCATTCTGTTAAATATTTTACAGCATCTCAGTATTTTCATCAGTATCCTAAATTTTCAGAAATTTAAGGATATTGAAAGAATATTTTAGGGGCTGGCAGGTTAACTCAGTTGGTTAGAGCGCAGTGGTGTAACACCAAGTTCAAGGGTTCAGATTCCTGTACCGGCCAGCTGCCCAAAAATATATATATATTTTTTAGAATGTCCTGGTGCTAAAAAAAAAAAAGAAAAGAAAAGAAAAAAGATGATTTGCCACTCAGCATAATCGGTGTTTGCTCCCTCATAATTTAATAATTCAAATGCTCATAAATGAAAAACATTTGTCATCTTCTTGCATGAAAGAAAACATTCAAATTCCCTTACCTGGCATTCACTCTCTTGCTCTAAATTATTTCCAGTTCAGACACCACTCTTCTCTCATATAAACCCAATTTTGCAGTCAAATATATCTATTCATTCTGCTCTACAGACATTCCTTGTTCTGTCCTTTCCACACACCTCTACCTACTCCATTCAGCAGAACTCAAAGCATCAGTGCCCTAAAACTTATTAGTAAACTAATAATAATTTACTTTGTTGCAATGAAAGAGGGGAGCATAACTTTGAAAAAGCTCTGTGTTGCTTGTGGTACACCCTCTCCCACCCCACCCTCTTTTGCTTGCTGCTTACTTTGCTGAGACTTAAGTGGTCAATGACTTAGAAGACAGATTTAGGACTGGTTTTACATGTCATTCTAAAATGGTTATCTGAATTCCACTGGGCAGGAAAAGTCCAAGGAGATTCCTCGCTCTTGTCCCTTTGTTCTACTAAAAGTATGTATGCAAATGTCTTTTGGAGGTTAAATACGAAAATTCAGCCACTTTGTCTTAAGCACTATTATAATCATTTTGGAGATGGCAAAAGAAATACAGGCCATTTCAACTTATATATCGTGTCCCAGAATTAAATTTTACATTGTTTTGTTTTTAAGGGAAACGTATTATTGAGGGTTGTCAGGTTTGGGGCACCCAGATTAGTCTATATTCAACCCAAAATAATGTAACTAAAATTTCAGGAGGACGTCAGGTTTCAAAGAGTTAATATTTGGAATGTTTTCCTTTATTTCAACTTACTTAGCTGAAGGACATCATGACAGTGCTCTAACTCACATGCTTTACACAGCCATTGCCTTCTTAGGTGTGGCAGATCACAAGGTATGTTCTTTTCTTTGTTGCTAAAGTGATCAAAAGATTCTGAAAAGTTTATAGCTATTATAACTTTAAAAGTGCATTTAAAATAAGTTTTCAGTAATTTACAATACTGCCTGCCATTTAAGTAGTTAAGTAATTGAGGATATGGAAAAAACATACTGGTTCCATTTCTTCAAATATTATGTATTTAAGGATTGAGTATTGGACTGTATATGTTTCTAATGAGACTTATCTAATTTTACTCATAGGGTGGAGTATTGTTGCTAGTACTGGCTTTGTGTTGTAAAGTTGGTTTTCATACAGCTTCCAGAAAGCTCTCTATAGATGTCGGTGGAGCCAAACGTCTTCAGGCTTTATCTCATCTTGTTTCTGTGCTTCTCTTGTGCCCATGGGTCATTGTTCTTTCTGTGACAACTGAGGTAAGAGCAAGAATTTATTGGTGATAAGTAAAATGAATTGCTATTGCTTATAAATTTTAGTTCAGTACATTGTATTTTATTTCAGTCTGAAGTTGAAAGTGGCCTAAATTATCTTTGCTTTTTCTTTGTAGTTTTAAAAAAACATTTTTGGAGTTAATTTTATTGTTTATAAAAAACACAAATCTGTTGTAACAACATACTGTACCCCACAAATATGTACAAGTAAATGTTAAATTTTGAAATAAAAGAGAAATACAAATCAAATACTATTACATTTACATATCCTTTGCATTCCTGTGACCCAAAGGAATCAGTTGAACAAACAACAAGCCATTTGTTAGGCTTAAAGATTGTGGGTTACGTGTTTATAAAGTTTTTAAACATTAATGCTTTGTTTTTTAACACTTTGGAGAATACTGGGAGAATGTGCCAGTATTTTGTAGCTCTTATATGTTGGCATTTTGTGAATATTGAATCATGAGAATATTTGCTTATACATAAAAAGTTTAACAAAACATCTTACACGATGTGAACTTTATACCTATATAGTATTGACAATTTCTTTTTATTTTTAATTTTTAGAGTAAAGTTGAGTCTTGGTTTTCTCTCATTATGCCTTTCACAACGGTTATCTTTTTCGTCATGATCTTGGATTTCTATGTGGATTCCATTTGTTCAGTCAAAATGGATGTTTCCAAATGTGCCCGCTATGGATCCTTTCCCATTTTTATTAGTGCTCTCCTTTTTGGAAATTTTTGGACACATCCAATAACAGACCAGCTTCGGGCTATGAACAAAGCAGCACACCAGGAGAGTACTGAACACGTCCTGTCTGGAGGAGTGGTAGTGAGTGCTATATTCTTCATTTTGTGTAAGCATTATTTTCCCCCTTGTTTTTATTTTAACAAATTTCTTTTTATGGATTCTGATGGTCAAATCATTTCTTTACTTAATTTAGGAAATCCTTCAGTGCTTGCATTTAGTGCTGACGGTTACCATGTTGGTTTTTTCATAGCTTAAACTTTTAAAACTTTTGTAATGTTCCTTTTTTTTTTTTTTTTTCCCTGTTTGTAGCTGCCAACATCTTATCATCTCCCTCTAAGAGAGGACAGAAAGGTACCCTTATTGGATATTCTCCTGAAGGAACACCTCTTTATAACTTCATGGGTGATGCTTTTCAGCATAGCTCTCAATCAATCCCTAGGTTTATTAAGGAATCACTAAAACAAATTCTTGAGGAGAATGATTCTAGGCAGATCTTTTACTTCTTGTGCTTGAATCTGGTAAGATTTTTAAATATTGGTGCCATATCTTAACCTAATATTTTAATTTTGACAGTTCTGGTATAATTTTAGTAATTCCCAAATTTCCGGTAGAGATGGGCTAAAATTTACATTTTCTCTAAGTAGTAGCAAGATTACAGTATCATATTCAGACTAGTTAAGCAAACAGTTTTTTTTCTGGCTGGCCAGTATGGGATCCGAACCCATGACGTTGGTGTTATAAGGCTGTGCTCTAACCAACTGAGCTAACCAGGCAGCCCAAGCAAACAATTTTTGAGGCATTTTAGAAGCATTTATTTAGTATGCTCTTTCAAATCAGTAAATACAGTAACATTTAAAGAGTTTTATCTGCTTCTTATAAGATGTGACTTACAGACCACTGGTTCCTAACAATTTATAGCCTAGTTTACTGATTTCTACAGGCATGCAAATAAAACTATCTCCATAGTTTATTCGAGAGATATATCTGATTTGTCTTAGTTTCTTACAGTTTATATGAAATAAATTTTCCTAGTATGAGTAACAGTTAAATAACCAAAGAGGCAGAGTTATGGCACATCTTCAAGTAAGAATTTGGTAATTAGGGTTAGAATTCTCATGATTAAATCCTGAGTAAATTTCTATTGAAACATTTCCCAACATACTCCTCCCATTCTTTTTTTATTTATTTATTTTATTTTATTTTTTTTTTTTACATTTTTAGCTTTTTACCTTTGTGGAATTATTCTATGGCGTGTTGACCAATAGTCTGGGTCTGATCTCAGATGGATTTCACATGCTCTTTGACTGCTCTGCTTTGGTCATGGGACTTTTTGCTGCCCTGATGAGTAGATGGAAAGCCACTCGGATTTTCTCCTATGGGTAGGTACACTGACTATCAAGGTAAGGTAGCACAATGAAAAAATTTTAAGTGCAAATTCTGTCTTATAGAATAAAACATTATTACTTTTAATACAAATAATTTTTAGATCTTCATTTTTCTTAATTTGAAGTAGGTAAGGGGATATGAACTAAGCATTTGATAAATACTGAATGGCAATGAGATTATAGTCCCTGACAAATTCTCTTCAGGCGGGGAGCAAAAATCAGTTAAAATCTTGAGGTCTTTGCCCAACTTGCTTCTTCTGAGGCAATGGAATGTGCATGATCATTCACATCTTTGCTGTTAAAAAGAGTATTCAAAATCTGAAGTTGCTATACATGAAAATATTCTTTCATTAAGCAAAAAATTCAATTCAACAAATATTAGAATCTGTTTTGAGACATATTTTGATAACACCTACTCTAAATTAGTAAATTCAGCTCTTATTCTCAACCGTTTATATTTTGAAAGATGGATGAGACAAAAATACAAATAATTTTGGTAAAAAGCAGAATTTTTGTGACATGAGATACAGAGCACATCAAGAGTTTAAAGGAAGAAGAAATAACCTCTTGCTTGGAAATTAGGAAAGGCTTTGTGTAAGAAGGATACTGATTAATATATAAAATTTCAGCAAACAGATATATGTACAGAAGGACCTTCCAGCATTAATATGTATTTATAATCTTGGTAATTTTCTAATATTATTATAACTACTAAATAAGTAGTTGGAAAATCTGGACTTATTTCCTTATTTATTAATTAATAATGTTTTCATACGTTTAAAATATTTGTCATTTTCCTTTTCTAAAAAGTATTCTACATTTTTAGGTATGGCCGAATAGAAATTCTCTCTGGATTTATTAATGGACTTTTTCTAATAGTAATAGCTTTTTTTGTGTTTATGGAGTCAGTGGCTAGATTGATTGATCCTCCGGAATTAGACACACACATGTTAACAGTAAGTCTTTTTATTTTCCTATTTGAATTTCTACTCATATAGTTTTTTTCCACGCTAAAGTTTAACTGTTTCTAGTTATTGATATAGGAAGGTTTTATTTTATTTTTTACTTAAATCAATGTAATTTCCTATCCTTCTATTTACATTTACACTGCCGACTCTTAGAAATTAATTAATCCTTTTCTCTAATATTTTAGTAATCAAAATATTAGGTGACATTGTAAAACATACAGGTTTCTTTCTGACTAATTAAATGTTTTTGTTTAAAGATGTGTTTTTAAAGGGCCGGCCGGTGGCTCACTTGGGAGAGTGTGGTGCTAATAACACCAGGGCCACGGGTTTGGATCCCTATGTAGGGATGGCCAGTTAGCTCACTTGGGAGAGCGTGGTGCTGACAACACCAAGTCAAGGGTTATGATCCCCTTACCGGTCATCTTTCAAAAAAAAAAAAAAAATGTGTTTTTAAATACCTGAGGAAATTGGTACAATGTTAGAGATAAACTCAGAAAAAAAATTTTAACTTTAAAAGCTTTACTCTATAGATTATATTACTACTATAGCAACTTTTAATGTTCTCCCTATACCTCCAAACCTTTAAATGCGCTATTTCTTGTACTTGACATGCCCTTCTCTCACCTCTCAGCCTCACTCAAGATTTTGCTTACATGTCTCCTCTGGTAGAATACTTTCCCTTAATCTCTCTCTTCCCTCCACAAAATTTGTTAGACTCCCCTTCTCAGTATTCCTATAGTATCTGGTGCATTCTTCTTTTAGCACCATTGAGTTGCAGTTAATTTGTTGTTTAATTTCTTCCACAATTAAGATGTGTCTTCAGGACCTGAATGTTAATTATCATTAACTCTTAAATGATAGCACCTGGCTTGTAGTAGGAACTCAGCAATTAATTGTTAAATGACTAAAAGCAGTTCTGAGTCTTGGTGGAAGCATACTTTAGTGAAATGGTTTTAGAGTACAGTTTGGAAATATATACTGGATTTTCAAGTGCTCATACTCTTCAGTCTTTAATATTTATCATACAGAAACATTCACACACAAGTATATAGAAGTACATAATTCATGTAATGAAAACAATCCAGTGTCTACCAATGAAAGAACCAGTTAAATAAATCTGTTATCCATATAATAAAATACTATGTAGCTATTAAAAAGTGTGAAGCCGGCCAGCTGTCCAAAAATAAAAAAAATAATAAAATGAAAAGAGTGAGGTATATCTATATATATTGGCATGAAAACAACTTAGAAGATGTACTAAGTGAAAAACAAATTGCAAAATAGTATTATAATATGACTCTAATATTGGTTTTAAAAGATATATATACATATATTAGTATACATGTAGAAAATACATCATTCTCCTAGGAGTGAGTAACTATTGGGGATAGTATTATAGGGACTTTCACTTTCTACATTTTTGTCTTTCTGATGAAATATACAAAAATGAAATATTTCTCAGTAGAGGAGGAAGAGCATGAGGTTGTGGGGATTCTATAAGCAGTATTTGGTTTCACTCAAACTCGCTGACTTTCTACAAGCTTTATAAGCTTTATAAAACTGAAATTTTAGGGGCCGGCCCGTGGCTCACTCGGGAGAGTGCGGTGCTGATAACACCAAGGCCACGGGTTCGGATCCTATATAGGGATGGCCGGTTGGCTCACTAGCTGAGCGTGGTGTTGACAACACCAAGCCAAGGGTTGAGATCCCGTTACCAGTCATCTTTAAAAAAAAAAAAAAAAAAAAAACTGAAATTTTAAAGTCTGACAGAAAAGTGGTCTGACTCACAGGAAAAAGTAAATAAGCTCCATATATGCTTATCAAAGTAAATCTCTTCTGGGGGCTGGCTGGTTAGCTCAGTTGGATAGAGCACAACCTTCTAATACCAAGGTCACAGGTTCAGATCCCCAACCAGCCAGCCAAAAAAAAAGATAAGTAATTAAAATTATTTGTTCCCTTCATTTTTATACTTTCCTTTTATAAAACAAATGATTCTCTAAAGGAGAAATTGTAGACATATAAGGATAATCAATGAATAAGTAACTTTGCTTATCTTTTGGAGTATTATTGTGGCACTGTTAATTCAAGAAATGTTATTCACTTTGTTTTTAAAAAATGAAAGATTATGGGCTGGCCCGTGGCTCACTCGGGAGAGTGCGGTGCTGATAACACCAAGGCCCTGGGTTCGGATCCCATATGGGGATGGCCGGTTGGCTCATCGGGTGAGCGTGGTGCTGACAACACCAAGTCAAGGGTTAGGATCCCCTTACCGGTCATCTTTTAAAAAAAAAAAAAAAAAAAATGAAAGATTACTTTTATATGTTTGCTATTTTATTGTACTATTTTTACTTTGGAAAATTTTAACACATGTAAGACACAGTAAGACTACATTAATTTGCTATCCACTAGTTATTAAATTTTAATCATTACCATACAAACTGTTCAAATTTACCTAGTAATATAAACAAGGTTTCAGGTACAGTGTATTCTTGCCCTACTAAGCAGTACTTTCAAACTCTTTATTTAAATAAACAAAACTTTGCACCATTTATTTATACATAAGCCATGAGCCAAATACATATCAGTCTTGGCCGGCCCGTGGCTCACTCGGGAGAGTGCGGTGCTGATAACACCAAGGCCACGGGTTCGGATCCCATATAGGGATGGCCGGTTAGCTCACTGGGTGAGTGTGGTGCTGACAACACCAAGTCAAGGGTTAAGATCCCCTTACCGGTCATCTTTTTAAAAAAAAAAAACAAAACTCTCCCGAGTGAGCCACAGGCCGGCCCCCATATCAGTCTTAATAACTTAAAGTGAGTCTAAATCCCAGTACTTGTCAATTTTGTTTGATATTTGAAAGTTAAAATGTTCCTGCTAAAATATTCTAAAATTCCCATTTTTTAAATTTTGGACTTACTTATTGAACTTGGTGAGGTTTTATTCTGAATACTTTCAAAACTATAAACAGAAAAACATGTAGTATATAATAATTTTTCAATAAAAAGTTTACTTAAAAACTACAAATTTTAAGGTTTTCTTTTCTCCCTTTTGCTAGCCAGTCTCAGTTGGAGGGCTGATAGTAAACCTTATTGGTATCTGTGCCTTTAGCCATGCCCATAACCATACCCATGGAGCTTCTCAAGGAAGCTGTCACTCATCTGATCACAGCCATTCACACCATATGCATGGACACAGTGACCATGGGCACGGTCATAGCCACGGATCCACAAGTGGAGTCATGAATGCTAACATGAGGGGTGAGTCCTTGCCAGATATTGTCCTGCCTTTCAACTGCATTCTATATTGACACTCTGTTTATTTGTATTAAATATTGGGCTTCTTGTACAATTTTATTTTTAAAAATCAATCTGTGGCTAAAAAAGTCTGAAGTCATCTGCTATAAAAAACACTTGTGTTGTATATACATGAAATGAAATATTGTTCAGCCTTTTAAAAAGAGGGAAATTCCATAATATGCAACAGTATAGATAAACCTTGAGAACATTATGCTAAGTGAAACAAGCCAATCACAGAAAGGCAAATACTGCATGATTTCACTTATATGGGTGAAATTCATAGAATCAAAGGGGGCGGGGGAATTGGAGGTTGCTAATCAACAGCTATAAAGTTTCAGTTAAGCAACATGAATAAGCTCTAAGGATCTGCTGTCCAATATTGTACCAATAGTCAACGATAATGTACTGTACACTTAAAAATTTGCTGAGTGCAGATCTCATGATAAATGTTCTTACCACAATAAAATAAAATTTTTTTAAAAAATGAAAATACATTTGTTCATAAATGTCAATTTTTAAATAAATAATTATAATTATAGAGTCCTTTTCATAGTGACACTTGAATAAATATTAGTTGAAAGGGAAACCCTGAGTGTACCATTATGAACTTTCACTACAAAAGAAAAGGGAAATGTTTATTGCACTACAAAAAAATATGGAAGAAGGGCCGGCCCGTGGCTCACTCGGTAGAGTGCGGTGCTGATAACACCAAGGCCACGGGTTCGGATCCTATATAGGGATGGCCAGTTTGCTCACTGGCTGAGTGTGGTGCTGACAACACCAAGCCAAGGGTTGAGATCCCCTTACCGGTCATCTTTTAGAAAAAAAAAATATGGAAGAATATTCATCACTTATTTTGTTGTACTGTTTATTCTGATTGTTTAAGTAATTTGGGTAATGTCAAAACTTGGTTCAAGCATGATTCTTAGGAAACCTTCCCAAAGTGCACCATCATAAAACTCATCATACTGTGTCAGTTGCCAATGTTCTTATCTTTTTACTACTATACTCCAAATTCCTAGAGGGTTGTGACCATGTTTTAGTCATTTTGAAGAAACAGCTACTAGCAAAGTGTGTAGTGCATAATAGGTACCCAGAAATATTGGTAGAATGGATAAAAGAACTAAATTAAATATGCCTTAGTTTTTAATGTTTTTATATATTTTATTTGTAGGTGTATTTCTACATGTTTTGGCAGACACACTTGGCAGTATTGGTGTGATCGTATCCACAATTCTTATAGAGCAGTTTGGATGGTTCATTGCTGATCCCCTCTGTTCTCTTTTTATTGCTATATTAATATTTCTCAGTGTTATTCCACTGATTAAAGATGCCTGTCAGGTTCTGCTTCTGAGACTGCCACCAGATTATGAAAAAGAACTACATATTGCTTTAGAAAAGGTACTGCATGTAATTTCTTCACTATTTTTTTCCTTTTAAAATAGCATTTGAATTTGAATAAGTTGACCTAATAAGAAATGTGCAAGATATGAATGAAGAAAATACAGTTTTACTTAAAAGACGTAAAACAGGGATTGAATAAATGGAAAGAGACATTTTCTTAGATGGGAAGACTGTATTATGAAGATGTTAATTTTCTTTTTAAATCTCAGTTGCCTCTCATTGGGACTTTGTTTTGTTTTTGTTTTGGGGTGGGAGGGATAGATAATTCAATATTATTTGGAACTTATTTGGAAGAGTTAGTGCAACAATAAAAAATAACAAATTTTAAAATGTTGTAGAACAACTGTTTACATAGCATTTACACTATATTTGGTATTATAAGCAATCTAGAGATGATTTAAAGTCTAAAGGAGGGTGGTGCATCCTGCAAGGACTATGGGGAGCCCGAGGGTGCTACCATGGCTTCTAGTGGGGTTGCCATGAGCATTGCTGGCTGGGCAAACAAAGCTCCCAAAATTCCAGACAACATGGGAGATTGGCTTCAGGGCATCTACCATTTTGCCAGTGATAGGAATGATTTCAGAGAAACTTCCTCCTCAATTTGGTACTCTCTCCTGTGGGAGTTTGGCTGGCCAGGAACTTGAGTGATATTGACCTAAAGGCACCTCAGCCAGAGGTGTAGCCAAGTAGACAAATGGAATCCCTGTGCTGTACCTGAACCTTCCAAAAACAGCCTACAATCTGTGACCACTACAAGATATGCCCTAATGGCAGCTGAAGTTTGATTCAGACAGGCACCTTCCCCCTTTCCTCCCTGGTTTCCTTTTGTTCCTTGAGTCCACTCAGAACTCCATTCTCTGGTCAGCAGTCAGTCTTCAGCTAAAGTGTTGCCTCTGTTCTGTAAAGTTCTGTGCATAGTTCCTAAGTTTCAGCAAGGGGGTGATCTTTGCTCTTGTCCTGAGGAATAGCAATGGCGTTCTAACAAATATTTGAAATAAAGACTGTACAGAAAGACTGAAAAAAAAAAAAAGCATAAAGGAGGATGTGCATAGGTATATACAAATACTCTGCCATTTTTATATAAGGATTTGAGTATCTAAGGATACTGAGAAACAACTGTATAAAGTTACAGAATTAACTCACACAACTAACAATTTGGTCTTGCACAAGAATAAACACATTAATCAACTTTTTAAAAAATAATAGGTGGTCCAGAAACAGACTTAGGAATTATGGAATTCAGTATACAGCAAAATGACATTTCAGATCAGTAGGGAGAAATGGTTGCCTTGAAGCTGGCTAGTTAGCTCAGAAGTTTAGACGGTGGTGCTGCAGGGTTCAGTCCCTGTACCATTCAGCTGCCACAGAAAAAACACGTTGAAAGAAACACTTTTATAAGTTGTTGTTCTATATAAAAATATTTTGAAAATAAAAATGGCAAAAAAACTGTTTTGTACTGTTTTATTAATTTTTCCCACTTAATTATGTCACATTGATAAATACACTAATACAGTTCTTTTTTTTTTAAAGATGACCGGTAAGGGGATCTTAACCCTTGACTTGGTGTTGTCAGCACCACGCTCACCCAGTGAGCTAACCGGCCATCCCTATATGGGATCCGAACCCGTGGCCTTGGTGGTATCACCACCACACTCTCCCGAGTGAGCCATGGGCCGGCCCCAACACTTTTAATGACAGTGTAGTATTACATTCTGTGGGTAGTCAATTTATTTAAACAATCCTCTATTGTTGAACTTTGAGGATATCTTTTGAATGTGTTATCTCCATATAACAAATAATGTGTGTATGCATGTATCAATGTAAAGGAAACCATGTAGTTCATTGAACATGTGCAGGTAATATTTAGAACAGGCAAAGTCATGTTATATTGGTGAAAATGAGTGTATGACTGTTGGTGAAAGCCACATTTGGGTATAAAGACATCTGTAACCCCCATTCGCTTTCCTATTCAGAGCTCCTTTCCTCAGCATCAGTCCTAGGTCAGAAAATTTTAAGCACTTCAAGTTTGTTGTCTTTCTGCTGTTCCCATTTCCAGCCTCTCCTTATCTTTTTTTATTTTTTTCTTAAACAGCTTAATAGTGACTTGTAGATCAAGGAATCTGTGATTGCTTTCTATCAGAAAGCATCTCCATTGTGTTAATTAGCCTTTAAAACCGTTTATATTACCTCTTTTATTTGACAGATACAGAAAATTGAAGGATTAATATCATATCGAGACCCTCATTTCTGGCGTCATTCTGCCAGTGTTGTGGCAGGAACAATTCATATACAGGTGACATCCGATGTGATGGAACAAAGAATAGTACAGCAGGTAATAACCTTTTGTTTTTAAAGTAATTTCAGTTGAGGTAATTCATACCTAAAATTGCACACATCATAAGTTATATGGCTCAAGTCATTTTTACTGTTCAAAAATATCAGTCTTTCAGCTGTTTGAGAGTAATATAACTTATTTTTTACATCTAGATTTGTTTTATATCTAAAAATTGTTAAAATCAAGTTTTAGTATTTAGAGGACAAGCTTAAGTAAATGTAAAAAAAATTCATTTATGATCCATCTTGGTTCCCAGTAGATTATCAAAAAATAAGGTACTGTAAATATAGCCCTAAATTAATAATAATAATCAAGTTGGAGTCTGGCCACTTAGCTCAGTTGGTTAAAGTAAGGTCAAGGTCAAGGGTCTGAATCCCAGTACCAGCCAGCTGCCAAAAAATAAAAATAAGTTGGCAGGGTATATGCTGTTTGGAGATAGGGATCAAAACAGTTCCTATAGCCCTATTCTAGATGTACCAAATTGGAAACATTAGCTATTTTTCTTTTCTTCTTTGAATGTCAGGTCAGTAATTTACTGACCTTCTAAAAAATCCCATCTAACATTTTGACTAAATAAGTAATAAACATTACTTTGAGGATTTATCTTAGACTACCTGTAAGTATAAAAAATGTAATATCAGTTATTTAAGATGTATACTAAATGCATGCTCTAAATGCTTTAAAATGTCTGGATTCATATAACAGGTTACAGCAATACTTAAAGATGCTGGCGTAAACAATTTAACAATTCAAGTGGAAAAAGAGGCATACTTTCAACATATGTCTGGACTAAGTACTGGATTTCATGATGTCCTGGCTATGACAAAACAAATGGAGTCCATGAAATTCTGCAAAGATGGTACTTACATCATGTGAGGATAACTCAGGAATTACCCCTGGGGTATGAACAATGAAGATTAAATGACTCAGTATTTGTGATATTGCCAGAAGGACAAAAATTGCACATAATTGTACAGAAACTTTTGAAGCTCCCTACTATTGGATCAAGGAATCTTTCTTAAAAGAAATTTAAATACAGAATGAAGCATTAATTGTGAAAGTAAGATAATTATTTGAATAATGTGTATAAAGGAATCTTAAAATTTGAACATGACGTATAACATCATCTTTAGAAATGGATACATGGGCCGGCCTGTGGCTCACTCGGTAGAGTGCGGTGCTGATAACACCAAGGCCCCGGGTTCGGATCCCATATAGTGATGGCCGGTTTGCTCACTGGGTGAGCGTGGTGCTGACAACACCAAGTCAAGGGTTAAGATCCCCTTACCGGTCATCTTTTAAAAAAAAAAAAAGAAATGGATACATAATGATGGATTCTAGTGAAGACCAAAATTACTTCTGTGTGTTTACTTTCTATTAGAAAGCGTCTCCATTGTAAATATGTATTTACATGTTTATTACAAAGACCCACATGAAAAATTTTAGTCATTTTTTTTGCATAGCCTAAGGATAAAATAGGAATAAAAGTTCTATATTTATGAATTTTCTGTATATAAAACTGGTTTCTAATTATAACTTAAGTTCATTAAGTAAAATCTGTATTGCCTCTTTAAATGTGAACTAAATTATTTGGGAGAAGCTTCAACCACTGATATGAGATAAGCAGTGAGAATAAGGAAGTATAACATTACAGTTTTTGATGTATTATAAAAACCAACCACTCTGTAAAATAAATTTTTTTACTTTTGGTAATATTTGCAAATGAATAATTTATTAGGGTGAAGAACTTACACGAGGTTGTGTCTATGTTATTTGTTCACTTGTCATCTTTCTCCAAAGTAGAATATTTCATTTCTTGTTGTGCATCTGGCATTCCAAGCTGCTTATCAAGCTGGTATCCAAGTAATACTAGGATTTTCATCTTTTCATTTAGCTCCATATGTTGTGGAACAGCTAGTTAAGAGAATCATAAATAGTTGTCAACCAGAGTTGAATTCTCTGCCTAAGGATGTAATTTTTTTCTGATTTCTGGAACAAATAGATATATATAAGAAATATTGGGCCAGCCCATGGCTCACATGGGAGGGCCTGGTGCTGACAACACCAAGTCAAGGGTTAAGATCCCCTTACCAGTCATCTTTTTAAAAAAAAAAGAAAAGAAAAGAAATATCGAAGAATAGTTATTTCAAGGTTTAATAATTAAAACTTATCCATAAACATTTGGGCACCATGAAAACAAAATACCCTATAACTACTTTATGTAGTACAAATTGAGTATCCCTTATCCGAAATGCTTGGGAACAGAAAGTTTTGGATTTCACATTTTTTTCAGATCTTGGAATATTTGCAGAATACGTATCTAATCTGAAAATCAAAAATGCTCCAATAAGCATTTCCTTTGAGCATCATGTCACTATTCAAAATGTTTCAGGTCCTGGAGCATTTCGGATTTTCAGACTAGGGATACTTAATCTGTAATATCTAATTTATATCTTTTTATTTCCAATTTTAACTGCATGTGTAACTGAAAAGATTTTATGATAAACAGATATATATATAATACATGCAGTTTTATGAACACCAAAGAATGTTGTCCAAAAGAAACTTTTGAATACCTATCTTTCTATTTATAAGCATCTAAATATTTTCATTCTTATACTAGGAATTTTGATAAGTAGGATGAATTTAGTATGAATACTATTTTCTTATCTCTACCATAATGGCAAACATGTATTGTAAATCGTATTTTTTCTTACCAATTTTAATGTGTGAGAGGTTTTAGAAATTTGTTATAAGTTATTTTGATATTCCTTGTTTTTGCACATTTTTTGGTCCTAAATATTCAATACATATTAAAAACTTTGAGTGGTGGGTAAATAATTACATATGGATATTTTAATGCAGTTTTTACACATTAAAAAAAAATTTAGGGGGCTGGCTGTTTAGTTCAGTTGGTTAGAGTGCAGTGTTACAACACCAGGGTCAAAACTTCAGATCCTTATACCAGCCAGCTGCCAAAAAACAATTTTTTTAAGTAGATAGTGAGGTACAATAAATATTAAACCATTATTAACATTGTCATTTCCCTTAAAAGTCATATAAATAGCAAAACGATTAATGTGATTGAGAGATAGCAGGGTGAGAGAGAGGGCAGGTGCTGAAGATTAAGGGGGGTGCAGATAGAAAGTAGGGAAAGTCCAATACTGACAACACCATGGTACTGGTTTCACCTCATATAAACTATGTGACTTTTATTCAAATGAGCCTCTCTGGGTATCTTTATTTTTCTCATGTATAATATCAATAAAATCTGCTGACAGGGTTTGGGAATAAATAATGTATGTGAAGATAAATTGAAAGTTGAAAAGGGCTATAGTTGAGGAATCATTATTTTAAACCTGGCTTCAAAGGTAGCTTTCATTAATTTCTGTTTTTCTATAAATCGACATCCCATGGCTGGCTGGTTAGCTCAGTGGGTTAGAGCTTGATGTTATAACACCAAAGTCAAGAGTTCATATCCCTGTACCAGCCAGCTGCCAAAAATAAAAAATACCCAAAACAGAAGCCTGCTTAGTAATTTGTTTGCTCCGAGAATGGTGGTGGTTACTGTTTTCCACACCTGTTAATTTCTCTCGCTTCCCTTTTTCTCCATCCATTGTTTTCTGTTATTACCAATTTGGGAGCTCGTGATTTTTCTAATTTCAGCAGAAAAATAGTGAAGCTACATAATCAGCAATCTCTAACCAAGCATGATGTTGATAACCCCAAGGTCCAGCATTCAATCTCTGAACCAGCCAACCATCAAAAAATTTCTAACCAGAGGACTCTGGTCTTATCTTAAATTTAGATTATGATTCTCCCCTAAAGTATCTACTATATTAATGCAGAGATGCATGTTTTTACTACTTAATGGTCACCTGGTCCAAAATGGCAAACAGCTCCCTTTTACCTCTGTCATTCAGATACACAGCTCTCCAGTCTAGAAACTACCACTCTTGTCAGTTTCTAGTACTGTATGTTTCCAGATATTTTATTTATGCATATACAAGCAAATACATGTGTGTATTATTTTTCACTTAGAAATTATTCTATAATTGAAACATTAAAAAGCATCCTCATTCTTAGCTGCGTAGTAACCCTACCAATGGATTTTTTTTTTTTTTAGGTTGGTTCTAATCTTTTGCTATTCTATTTTTTTTTTTTTTTTAGATGACTGGTAAGGGGATCTTAACCCTTGGCTTGGTGTTGTCAGCACCACGGTCAGCCAGTGAGCAAACCGGCCATCCCTATATGGGATCCGAACCCATGGCCTTGGTGTTATCAGCACCGCACTCTCCCGAGTGAGCCACGGGCCGGCCCTAATCTTTTGCTATTCTTTTTTTTTTTTTTTAGATGACTGGTAAAGGGATCTTAACCCTTGGCTTGCTGTTGTCAGCACCACGGTCAGCCAGTGAGCAAACCGGCCATCCCTATATGGGATCCGAACCCATGGCCTTGGTGTTATCAGCACCGCACTCTCCCGAGTGAGCCACGGGCCGGCCCTAATCTTTTGCTATTCTAGACTGATAAATGAATAGCCTTGTACAGGCATCATTTTGCATATTTGCAAATAAATATGTAGGATAAATTCCTACAAGTAGAATTTCAGAGGCAAAAGGTTTTGGACATTTATAAATTTGAAAAATATTGCTAAATTGCACTCCACAGAGATTGTAACAGTTTACCCTCCCAGCAGCAATGTTAGATGTCTTAAAATGGAAAAAGGCAAACATTTCTTATGGCCTTAATTAGCAGCAGGTTAAATATGCAGGGAAATTATATATAAATGCTGAATAGACTTCAGTTATAAAACCAGTAATGTTCATTTTTAGGGTGATTTTTCAGAAGGGAAATTTTCTAGTAAATTATATAATTCAATTAAAATTGTGAATTATCAAACTTTGTCTTGTTCCTCGTATCCACAGCAGGTGCTGACACATATGCTCAAAGATGTTTATTATATTCTGTGCATGTACAAACATACTGTTCTGTTACATTTTTCTTTTCTTATTTTTATTGAGGTATATTTAATACAATAAAATACATGGTGCTCAGTTCAGTGAAGTGGTGAGTATATGGAGCAACTGGAACTCACACACTGCCAAAGTTAAACATATATCCATCATGTGACCCAGCATTCCCACTCCTAGGTATTTACCCAAGATAAATGGAAAGAAGTGTCCACAAAAACACTCGTACAAGAATGTATGTATTCATAAAGCAAAAAACTGGAAACAATCCAAATATCCGTCAAGAGAACTGATAAATTGTAGTGTATTCATAATTGAATACTACTCAACAGTAAAAAATAAAATTACTGTTACATAAAATGTAGATGAGTCTCAAAACACGTTAAGTGAAAGAAACCAGACACAAAAGAATATAAATCATCATACTGTATGATTTCATTTTTATGAAGTCAAAGAACAGGTAAGACTAATCTATAGTGATAGAACACAGAAAGTAGTTTGTATGAGTTTCTATTGCTGTCATAACAAATTACCACAAATTTAATGGCTTAAACAACACAAATTTATTATCTTACAGTTCTGTAGGTCACGAGTCCAGTGTGGGTTTCACTGAGCTGAACTCAACGTGTCAGCAGGGCTGTGTTTCTTCCTGGAGGTTGTAGGAGAGAATCTATTTCCTGATCATTCAGGCTGTTGGCTGGATTTAGTCCTTATGGATATAAGTCTGTGGTCTCTGTTTCTTTGCTGGTGTTCCCAGCTTCCAGAGACCACCTGCATTCCTTGGCTTGTGGTCCCCTTCCTCCGTCTTCAAAGCCAGCAACGGTCAGGTGCTTCCCATGCTTCACATTTCTCCTGTCTGTTCTTCCATTGCATCTCTCTGACTTGCTCTTCTGCTTTCCTCTTCTACTTTTAAGGACTCAGGAGATTGCACCATGCTTCACATTTCTCCTGTCTGTTCTTCCATTGCTGCATCTCTCTGACTTGCTCTTCTGCTTTCCTCTTCTACTTTTAAGGACTCAGGAGATTGCACTGGGCCCACCCAGGTAATCCAGTCTCTTCATCTCAAGGTCTTCAAAGACCCTTTTGCCATGGTAAGATAACATATTCACAGGTTCCAGGCATTAGGACATTGGCATCCTTGGGAGGTCATTCTACCTACTA